TTTTTACATTTTTTGTTTTTTTTTTATTATAAAGCAGTTTTGTTTTTAGCAAATAACGTTAAGCGTTTAAGCTAATGATTTTTGAATGTCTTTTAAATACAAATGATATTTGGTAAAAGCTATTAATATATAACACTTTAAACATATTGTTTTAAACAGTTTTTGAGCTGACCTGTTGACTGTTTTACTTTTAACATTTTTTTTAATAATATAATTGAGTAAAAGTTTAGTTAATTAAAAATAAAAAAACACGATTGTGTTAGAAAGTTTAATTTTGTGTATTTAATTTTTATTTAAAAGACATTGCGACTACACAATCAACAATTAGAAGTAAATCGATAATTATATTTCTTTTTTCTTTTTTATGAAAAATACACATATTGGTGAGAAAATATGAGCTTGTTTAGTATAAGATAGTTCCCCGTTTCCACGTGCCAAAGGAATATCGATAGATGTTTCGATATACATATGCCAATATTACATTGATGTTAGGACACATACACACTGCGGAGCTGTAAATGAGTTAATGCTAGTTTCGAATAAATATTTTTCAAGATTTTTGAATTTAATTACCTCACTTGTATACACATTTGTGCGTATGCATGCATGCATAAATGTGCAAAGCTAATAATATTTGTTATTTAATTGGAAATAATTGGCAGTTGCATACAACTATTAATTATGTATTTTCTTTATTCATTTCCTAAACAACTAAACGTTTATATATGTTTTTAGGTGCATACGTATGTTATGCGTAATACGTTTCATGGGTTATTTGAGAGTAAGCATAACTGTATTTTTGTACGGTTTACATAAATGCACTTTTATTTTGTTAGTTTGAATAATTATGTTTGGTTTTTTTTTCTTTATTATGCGGAAATGTTTTTTTTTTTCGGTCGGTAAACACGCGAAAATGTTAATTAATAAATCAATATTTCCGTATTTTAATTTAAAACCTACTTTTGTTGTATATTTACGCCCACTTAACTTGCAAAAATTTAAGCAACTTTTTTCATGCAACACTTTGAATAACTAAAAAAATACAACTTTTCAGCACGCCTGATATTTGTGCAGTACTTTATTATTCACCATAGCATCGTAAAGTTTTCGTTTACAGCCCGCCGCGTTTCGCCTATAAATTCTTGCTAAACAATTTATCCTTAATAAAGCTCCAGTTGCTCAGTTGCATCGCAATACACTCGTGGAGTTCGTATTCTATGTTACCATCTAAAATAGAAATGCAGAGCACATTCTTACCATAACAACCTTCGATAAACCCGATAAAAGGAAAGTGTGTTTTGTATGCACTACACCAGCGAAGTCGTTGGGAAACTGTAAAATGTGTTGTTGCTACTGGTATTTTTATTATGTTCATTGGTATTTTTTTTGCTTTTTCATACGAATGCACTCATAGTTTCAGTGTACACTCATATTTTCTTCATTATTTTTTTTTTTGCCGGCTGTTAAGCTTATTTCGCACGTAAGCCGTTAAGAGCTCGGAAGGTGTGTATATGTATAATATGTATGTTTTCAATAACAGCACATTGCTAAAAAACGAAGACGCTAGAGTTCTTGATGATTATCGGCACTAAATAAATAAGTAATGAGAAACATATGCTTTCTGTGTCGAAAATGTTGACACTGAAAAGTCTTGAAGTGCTCACGTGTTGATATCGATTAAATACAAAATCGATAAATTTTTGATGCGTTTAATGTTGCCACACTAAACGCCCGAAAATCGTTTCAGCTGTTACAAAGCACCAATAGTATATAAAATATAAGCGTAATTAGTTTAGTTCCATTAACAACATAGACATATTCAAAAATTCAAATATTTCAAACTTTTATATTACGCATAAAAAAATGCTAAATAATCAAATTTAATTGATTTTCTATTTGTACGAGTGGCTTTCGAACATTTTCAAGTTTCCAATTAGAGTAATTTTACGATTTATAAATGGAGAAAAAACCAAATATGTAACAACAAAATGTAAAAAAATCGGTGCAAAAAATTCACGTATGTATATACATATGTACTCTGGAGTTGCAAAAATCATCTAAAATGCATGAACACAAAAGAAAATTAATAAAATAAAATACAAACAAGTAAAGTGAAGTGAAGAAAAACAAAGCTGAAAATTTGCGCTAACGTAAAATCTTGAAAATGACCGTGAAGATCAACTAATGCATGTAAGCGGTAAATGTATATGCATAATTTACACCTGTACATATGTCTTTATGCACATACATAACTCGTTCAAATACTATCTTGTAATCCGTGCGCTTTAACAGTTATTTTGTAGCGCAAAAACATGAGATTTATTAAGTTCCTTACTTGTCTACGTACATAAATACATACATATTTACCTGTTAGCCTACTACTAAACTATATATGCACAGAAAACCATACATATGAATGTATATGTACTAAGTAAGTAACAAGTAGGTAATTTCTTAATTACGAGTACAATCTCTATAGTTTTTTTTTTGTTTTTGCTTCATACTGACAACACGCTTGTTAAGCTTTGCTTTTTTCGTATTGTTTTTCCTTTTTGCAATAGTAATTGTAGTTGATTGGTGGGTGTTACGAGCTCTTAGCCATTTGGGTTGCTTTACATGTGTACGGAGTCATGTATAAATGTACATAAGTATGCATGTACAAACATGCACAGTTTTGTTAGTAGATTTTGGATGAGCTGACTAGGTATATAATAATGTTTGTAATTGATTTTACAACCTAATTGCCAGCTAATGTTAAAAGCATCAAATGACAACTAACGGTAGTTGATGGCAGTTGTTGTAAGTCATGCACCTTACAAGGATGGCCAGTGTCATTGATTGCAATCAAAAAAGTGAAGAGGAAAAAAAGTAAAAACTATTTTCACAATTAGAAGCAGCGAAACCTCGAAAAGTACTTTTTGTATGTTTGTACTCATATATATACATATGTATGTAAATATAAACACTTTTTTGCACTTTTTTAATTTCATGCACTTTTAATGCCTTGCTCTCGCCGCATACGGCTTTTGCTATACCATTTTACAAAAATATTAAAAGAAAAGTTCATATACAACTGTAAATGTTGTTTCCATCATACTCGATATATGTACATACATATGTATATAGGTATATTTATTGAGTTCAATTCTCGAAATTAAAAGAAATAAAAAACTTTATTGTTAGCGCCAGCAAATGACCATTACTATCGAACTTCGATAACAGCTGATGTCATATATCCTTACTTAAGTGGGGTTAATACGTTTGGATAAAAAGACTACGCAACAAATTTTATGCTAAAGAGGCGTACATATATTAAATGAAATTAATATTTTCGTGTGCAGAAATTAAGCAAAACTAATGTTTTGTGCAAATTCACATGATTTTCGTTACGCATTAAAATCAAGCTTGCATTTGAGTATTAAGAAATTTACATAATTTTAACATTAGCGCGCGCATACATCCATTTGAATATAAAATTCATGCTAAAATCAAGTCAAACTTAGTTGAGCATAATTTAAACATTAAGTGAACTTACATTTTGCGCTTTTTCTTTATGTAGGTATTATTATTTTTTATTTTTTCGTATTTTTTATTTTTTTACTCTTTACATTTATTTTATTTTTTCATATTTTTTTTTACTCATTACTTATATTTAATTTTAATTTGTAATTTTTTTTTTTTTTTTATTCTTTATTTTTTATTTTTTATTTTTTGTTTTATTATTTTTTTTTTTTTTATATTTTTTTTTTATATTTTTTTCTTGTCTCTTAAACTTTTACTGCGCACTTCTTTTGTGTCACAGGCAATTAATGCTTATTGTCGTCTTTTTTCACGTTCTCATTTTGTCGCCCTGATTGTAGTTATATGTACTCGTATGTAGGCGAAGTTCCCAAGCGAAGATCATTACGACGGCGACGATCTACATAAACAACAAAGATCGTTAAACTTGCGAATGTTGGCTTCAACACCACATATTTATAAAAGTATACAGCTATGTAGGTAGTGCAGACCTAACAGCACATGCGCATGCTTAAATATGATTGCCTTTGTTCGAGTTCAAAGTCAGCCAACGCCTGCTCTACTTGTAGCGTTAACCGAGCTTGACTTGTCTGAGAGTTAGAAAAATGGAAAAAGAAAAGATTTTGATATCTTTTATACTAAAAGTACTCGTATGTTCGCATAAACGTAATTATAACACATTCAAATAACTCGAGTAGCTGCCGTCTCGCAATTGTCAGTAGTACACTTATGTGGTTCGCTTGGCGGGCGTTTGCAAAGTCTGCACCAAACAAACAATGCAAGGTTGTTATGCTATGTCCGTACATCAAGATCGACTCTCTGATCCGATCTCGCGGCTTAAGCACAAGATCACTGATCAACCAGCCTGTTGGCTTAGTAGAAGCACACCAAAGTCACAGCAGCCGCCACTAAGCGGCACTTTAGACAATTTTAATGCAATTTAACAGTTTCGCGCCAGTGAAGTGTGCAAAGCCAGCCATTACTTTACTACAAAAGCCATTGCAATCAGTTGAAATAAAAAACTATTCGCTGAACCCTACTGCTGCGCCAAAAGGCAATGAATTTTGCACAGCTGCCATATATTTATACGCTTTTTATATGATCTTATTTAACGTTGTAGATTTTCAGCTTTAATTTTTTCAACAACTGACCAGCTGTCATGTTTTGTGTCAGCTGCGGGAATTGCCTACAGAGTCAAGTGTCAATTTGTTGCAAATGTTGCTTATTTATATATACAAAGTGCTTGGCTTGTGCATAAGCTGAAACGTCAACGACACGGTCGACCTTGATAAATGATTACGCATACATACATATATGTATGTTCATAAACTTTAATAAACTAATGCCAATTGTTTTGTGAGCAGACATATGACACTCGATATTATTTTCAACTCATTGCTCTGTGCCATTTTTTCAACTACATTAATTATTTTTCTTTACATTTGTATACTAATTTTTTGTTTATTTTTTCTTCTTTACAGCCAAATGAATCTGGTTTTGTGCTTTTGGGCGATCTCTCGCTAGAAACTTCAACAGATTCAGATTATGATGATTTCTCCATGTGCCCACCATCTCCCTGCGATGTTGAATTCGAAAATGCTAATATTGTGATCGATGGAAAGTCAAGCATCCGACAGAAATCCAAAGAAGCAACGGTTAGTACTACATTAATATACAGCTACGCAGTATTTATCTTGTATGGTGGAAAAAATTAACTGTACTTCATTTATCATTATAATCATTAAGTGACACTCTGTGGAAAAGAACAACGAAAATATATGATAATTGAGGCGCAGATGCTATTCGTGACAACTTGTCACTAGACCATATGGGAAATTAATTTGAACTAACATTTTACTATTATAATCACTTATATATGTATGTATGTATATATGTTTTTTTTAAAGATATTTAAAATTTAGTTTTAGGCCACCAAAAGTAATTACCAAAAGTCAACACACTCTCTTGAAAATTTTCTCTTTCTTTTCCATTTTTTTTTCTTCGAATAACACAAACTTTTACCATGATACACCTATTAAAAGTTATTCATAATGGTTAGTTTATATTGTTTTTGCTATATACGAATCTTTAAAGCTGATTCACATAAGGGGCTTGAGTACATTTTTTTTTTTTTTTTTTGTAAGTACGCAGGTACAAAGCAAAGTGATAGAGGTGAGGTGAAGCAAAATGTTGCCGAAGACTCAACTTTTTTACAGTTCATCAATTCTCTAATGCAATTCTTGATATTTAAACTTTACAGAGGAATGAAAATAAAAATTCTATTTATTTCAAATTGGTAAATTTCAATTTTGTTTTTTTTTCACAAAGTTATTAAAAACGAAAAATAAAAAATATCGGATAATTTTTAGGCTTTCATTGTGACATACCTTCGGTATGTTTCGCTCCGTACTCGAGAGCTTCATCTGTCAAGCAAGACGAAACATGTTTTTTTTTGTGAATCACCCTTTAGTGTCTGTTTTTATTATCAATTATTGATAAGATTAGATTGCACACTCGCTGTTTATTAGATGAATAGTAACTCTTCGTGTTTGTTTGATAGCGTAACTTAATTTTTCGGTATTTTGGTATTTATTAACGCAGTTTTTTAAATAGTTTTATCAGCGCACTTATACTTTGTAATTTTATTGAGGGCATGCTGTGCGATAGGCGAATTCCAGCGTGTGTCATAAATCATTTCATATCAAGAACTAGGTAAAGAAAGTCTATTTACTTATACTTAGGTGAGAAAAATCGTTGAACCTTCTTTTGAAATAAATTTGCAATTTTTAGTTTTACGCAATAATTTCTGTAATAAAGTACAGTTTCCGTTAGATATCATTTAGTTGTAGACATTTTTATTTAGACTTTATTGACCTTATTTTAAAAAGTGAGTTTGAATTATTTTATACAATTAATCTAAGTTTTTTGTATAATAATATCTCTGCGATTGTGAATGGAATACTTTTGCTTCTAAGTATTCATATACCAGTCAGTTTCCATATTCATGTGACACCTTCGCTAGGTACGTTTGTGTCTTATTTTTGTTATTAATTGACAGGTAAACGACAAATAAATATATAAAATTTTCTATCATGCCAATTTGGTAGGCAAATTAGCAAAACATGCTGACGTATGCCGAAATGAATGTTTTAGGTAACTAACATGTATGTATATAAATCGAAATCGCTTCATGTGTTATACATCAAACTCACTTTTTTTCACACTAAGAACGGTTGATATATGTGCATACATATTTACGTAGGTATATAGTTGAAAATATTTTTTGCGTTTCTGCTTTAAATACTAATGCTGTATGCAAAAATAAAATAAAAATAAGAAAACAAAGTTTTATGTACATATGTATGTATGTATCTCGGTTACTCAAATTTCACAAATTCTATGCACATAACGATTACACCATAAATGGCGGACCAACCGGGCATGAAAATGAATTGAAATTCAAGCACAATAACTACATGTGCCCCCTTTTTCACTTTTATTTACTATTTTTATTTGAAATATTTTCTTTTTTTTTTACAAAATAACCGCTGGCGTAAATATTAACGAAAAAACGACATCAATTTGCAGCATAATATTTTTTATGTATACCTAACATTTACAATTATACTACGTGTATATACCTAGTTTCGTTTTTATTTTTTATTTTGTAACTGAGAGTAGAGCCTTCGCTGCTCTGTAATGTAGGCGTTAAAGTGTCATTTCCGGTTTCATATTCATCCTATGTCAAACCCGTTGAGATTAAATTGCGCCAACAGTTTCTGTTTATTATGTGCTAAGCGAAATGGGGACATTTATTATGCATTCACAGTGGTGTACGGATATGAGTTAAGTTTTATAAATGCATAAAAAAAATGCAATTGATAATGAAAATGAAAGCATTAAGGGAAATAATTTATTTCTGAGAGTCGTTTGTTAGTTGTTATTTATGTTCGCTTATTCTATAAACACTACTTTCAAATTGATAAAACAGCTCTTTTGGTTCAATAGATTTCGAATACATACATTTTTTACGAATAGGTTTTGTAATGAACGAAAGCCGATTTTTTCTCATTTCAATATTTAACTTAAATGCCTATTTTAGCAATGAATTTCTTTTTAGCCGCTCTTCTTTCCTATTATATTGTACTTTCATCGACACTCATTTATCGATTTTTACGATTTAGCAATAATTATCAGCAGCACTGCAAACATACGGTTCACACGTCATTCATCACGTCATTCATACAATGCAACACTTTTCAATTAATAAATCATTTCTAAAGGGTATTTAAATGTAAATATCTATAGTATTTATCTTTCTTTGATGTAACGCATTTAATTTTGAATTTCCCATTCCACTTTCGTCACAGTTGCATTTTATATGCATAACTGTAACAGTGCGACAAATCGATTCAATCGGTGCTCCAATTATTTTATTTTTTTTTTTTAATTTTTTTTCTTCAACTTTCTGAAAACATCTCTAAGTTGTGCTTTTTCTGTATTTCAAAGGTTTTCATATATTCAATATTAAGTAACAGTAATGAATGAATGACATGGTTTTGTAAAAGTGCCCATTCACGATTTTAACTTAAGGTATTTTGTAAAACGATTTAGGTTGAGATATTGCAATTGGGCTATTTTGTATGGAAAAGCGTACGTAATTAGTGTTGTCTGCATACTGATAAGTTTGATATCATTGAAATACGTAGGTTACCCTACATTTCAGTATGTTTGTATGGACATATTGAGCGCGTGCTTGGTTTTTTATGAGTTACTCAGTATTATATGCCACACTTTTTGCTGATAAGGTAATTAAATTAATAGAGGGAGGGGTAGTTTAAATTAAAGTTAATGAAGTTTTTAATTTGTTTAAAGGCAAGAAAAGTATGAAATTTCATATATGATTATTAAAAAATTATGCAGCAAAAAGCTTTAGATTTTATTGAGTTTTTACATGATAAAATATGATCATATCTAAGATTGCTTTATTTCTAAAACAAAAGAGTATTTCCTTTACTAGGTAGGCAATCTGTAGTGGGTAATGTTCATAAATTCACAAAGTATTTGGCAGCCACGATGGCTGAGTGATTAGCATTGCGTACTGCCATATGGAAGGCTGGGGCTCGAGTTCTGGTCCAACCAATATCTAAAAATTATAGAAATTGATCGACAAGAATGGCAAGCTCGGCGAAAGGTATTTCTGACAATAAATAAAGGCTCCTCATAAAAAGCCATCTATATAAACAGTAGGTTCCTACTGGATAACATCAAGACACACAACACAAATTGGTTGAAGATCTCAGCCGAAAATCACATCAGCAGTAGCAAAGCGACACTTACATTTATATATATATGTATATATATATTCAGCTTTGGGTGATTTTTGCTGTTTATGTTACGGCAAATATATCACCTTGGTTTTTAGATACTGCTGAGCGAGTCACAGTTCCTCATTTCGGATAAAAATCCTATTCTATTTTAGTAACCTCTTGATGTCTTATTAAACTCCTGACCAACAGAGTGTTCGTCAAATGTGCTGTAGAGATTCTTTTCCATCGTTTTTATCGGACCATAAAACTTTCCTATCCTTTAATAAGTTAGAGGTTAGTGTTTTTTACTAACCAGCTTTTTTTTTTTGAAGTAATGGGACTTTTTTTTTGAACAACAGACGTTTCCGAACTGCTTCTACGCCGACTTTGCTCATTTGATTCAAAGCATGTGCATCCATACATAATATATATATATATATTTAATTTTCTACTAATTAACATATCCATATCTCTTCTTCTTTTTCCCACAAATACACACAGTTCCGCGTACAATTCAATGATACGCTAACCTCCACCTTTGAATATCCCTCCGAGGCATCGCTAATCATTGACGATACCTACAGCAATGATGCACTGATAAGCGCCATTGAAAGTATGCAACTGAATGATACAACCGATGCCTCACCGACGCGACATCATCATGTTGCCGTTGATGAGATTATACAACTGCCAACACCGGCGAATACTTCGTCACCCGCCAATAATATAACGAACAGCGCAACAAATACGCCAACGAAAAACATACTGGGGAATTTGCCATTAGGTAAGTGATGGAAAGTTCAGTTCAATGTCATGAATTTATTTCTATTTTTTTGTCATTAACCATTACACTACATACTAATCTATTAATTAATTACATACATTTTACAATACATACGAAGCAAAACTAAAATCGAAAAGAAGTAAAAGAAATAATATGAAAAATTATTCATCACATTCTTTTGTTGGCTTTTCATGTGCCACCATCATTTATTTGCATATGTTTGTTGTTTATTATTAGTTTTTGTTTTAGAAAAAACGTAAAAAAAAGTTCTGTCTGATTGATTGTTTGGGAAAGTTTTTAAAATCACTTTTTAATTTGTTTTTATAATATTATTGTTGAACTAAATTTCTTCTTGAAACATATTTGTTGTTAATACATTTAAATTATTTTAATTGTTTAGATTTCTATTAAGTATTTTATGTAGTCACTGTTTGAAATTTACTGATTTTTGTTGCTGTTGTTTGCCTAAATTTACTTTTCTATGTTTCTTTGTTATCTATATGTGTTTCTTATTTTTTTAATAATTAAGAAGAAAGTCTAATTTTTCAAACTTCTTGCCAACCTTTTGCAGCTTTCTTTTTAACTCTTTAGTTTTGTGTTTTCTTCTTTCTAATCCAAAGTTTCTGTATACTTTTTGCACTTGTGTAACACCAATAACCAAACAACAACTACTCACATCACGAAATTCTAAAATTTTTGGCAATTTTTTATACCAAAATAACTCAAAGGATATAAAATTAAAAATAAATCAAAAGTTTAAATGAAAAAATTGGCACACAAGACCTTAAACACAGTTCAACACAAAAACATGAAAAGAATATTTAAAACCATTTACCAATGTTCAAGCCCCAAAATTGTTTGCAATAGTACAAACGTATAAAAAAATAATAGTTATAAAAAATATATAAAAGTTTAAAAAATAAAAAAATTTGAAAAATTAAAAAAAAATTTTAAAAAAAATTTTGAAAATTAAAAAAAAGAATAAAATAATAATAAAAAGGAAATTCAAAATAATAATCATTTTTCCTTTGAATTAAAACAATAATAAAAAAATTAAAATTGAAAAGTCGGAATCCTCCTTACACTGTCTACCCTCACCGAAACTTATCTACACTCGCCACTTCTTACTCTCTCCCTCTCTTTCTCTCCCTCTCTTTCTCTCCCTCTCTCTCTCTCTTTTATCTCTACTGTATTTTTTTCTTCAGTTTCAGCCACTTCTCCTACAGCTGAAAATACGCCTAATACAACTGAGTTACCACCTTGTCTGCTCGAGTGTTTCGATGAGCTCAAACAGTGTAGATTTAGCAAGAAAAGGCAAATTTTGAAAATTCTAACAACGCCATTTCGTAAATTTTTTAAAATCTTAAGGTTGGTGGTTCTACCAAATCCATGTCCCAACCTCTTCTGTCCAACCTGACTTCTCGGCATATTTTTTGTTCGAAATTTTTCTTTAATTTTTAGAAATTTCGTCATTTCAAAATCTTTCATCGTTTTGCTTGTTTCAATAGAATATCATACATTTTTCATCATAAAAATCGATTTTCGTATTTTTAAAAAGGATTTTTTCCTAAACTCTTGTAAAGGAACTCCCAATTTATCCGAGATTGATCCAATCCATCTCTAAGTTATGAAAGTTAAATTTTTGATAAAAACTTTCAGCATAAAGTTCGTTTTCTAGGTTGTAACATAGTGAAAGACAATGTTTAGTCTTCTTAAACCATCGCATTCGCTCATTAAATCTTAAATTTCCCTCAGAATATGCAACATTTGAGGCGAAATTCAGTACAACAAGTAGATGTGTCATATCTCGAGATGCTCACAACTCGGGCCAAGTGCTGTGTGCGTGAATTCTGCAATTACTTGACAGCCTTATGGGGAAGAGTGGCCTAAAAAGGTGACCACAACCAATCGGTTTAGTTCCAAGCTATTCCTGTTGACCTGCGAGCGAGATTAAAGTGCCGAATAGCCTGAAACCCGTTTTTATTTGAGTTGTCCTAGTAATAAGAAACCTCTTGATGCCCCTATTCAAAGCGGGGACCAACGATAAAAGCCGCTGAATGGGATTTGACAACGACCGGTCTTGACTGCCATTCGTTGGGGGTCAGTAGAAACCTTTCTCAACTATCTTTCAATTGATGGCGTCATAGAAAGGTCGATCCCATTACCTACCCTTACCATTCCTTAGGAGTCAGTGCGAACCTTTCTCAACTATCTTTCAGTTCATGGCGTCATAGAAAGGTCGATCCCACTACCTATAGTAGACGGAAGTCTAGAACTACTTCTGATGCGGTCTGAAGAAAGCAGAAGTCACAACGTGGATGTTGAGCGGTAGGCCAGCAGCTCTATACTCTATACTGAAGAAGATTGTGCCTTCTCTATTCAGTTCTATAGCTCGTATTATTTTCTACAGTAATTAATTAAAGAAGTCATACGATAAGGTGTCACCTCTCTCTCGTTTGGTATCGAACGGCTCGGACAGGTCTTTCCCGATGCTGATGGAGCTTTTTGTGTCGCTTAACTTCAGTTTACACAGCCTTATTGCTGACGCCACAATCCTGATGCTACTGAGGTGGCAGTATTTGTTGTAGATTTAACTTCTTTCTATCTAGACTCGATCTTGCCATATCTGACATTTTTCGTCCACCTGAAATGATGCCGCAAACGACATTTAACACTTTTTGCATCTCCCATTAAAGCTACCTCATTCAACATCCCTTTCCATTTGGTTCGAAATCTGTCGAAACGGGATATTTTCAGATCCTCCCGACATAAATGACATCGACTGTTATCGTCTTTATCTAAGCGGGGTTACAACCAAAAAAATCATGACGTATTTACCATATTTTCTTACCATTGAGGATCTAGATAGGTCGCGCGTATGAAGCGCCGCGGATCATTCCATGCCCTTCATCGTAAGAAACCAAGCCTACGAGCATTCATTTCAATTTCACTACAACAACAAATCCTCTAAATTGGCTCATTCATTAGTAGGAACAAGAGAATACCTTAAACCACAACAAACAAAACTGCACCGATTTCGTACTTTGTTTTCAAAATCGATATACTTTTCCACTTATCGGCATACCCAAAAGCATCATCACTATCTTTAAAAAAATTATATTTGCATAATTATACGCTTTCATAAGCCAATCAAGAAAAAAAAAAAAACTCGTTCAAATCCACAGCCAAGATCTCTCATATTTACAAAAAAAAAAAGAGAAAAAATAACTTGCAAAGAAAAACAAAAAATAGAACAAACATAAATTTTTGCAGATTACCCAATTTTAGACAAGGGTATAATGTCACAACAGCAGGAGCAGCAACAACAACAGCAACCATCTCCACAACAAGTCAACTTGATGGAAAATCAAAATCAAAAAGCCGCGAGCCTTGCAGCGCCACCTTTGTCCGAAGACTCTCCACAATCAGCATTGGCGTTGGAGAAAACTCCCATCTTACCACCACAGCACGAAACAGCATGCAACGCCTTGCAGCAAACGGTGCAATCAACGCTGCACGACGCAAATACCGACAAGCTCGACGCGTCGGCAGTAGCAACAGCACGCTTGCCGCCACAGCCACTGGTGTTGCCACAACGACCCACAGATTTGCCATTGCCAATGGTGTTGTCGACGCTACAGGCACAGCCAAAGAAAAACAAATTAGAGCAGCAGCTGCAGAAGCAACAACAACAACAACAACGAACGACACAACAGAAACCGCAACTGCCAGTGAAGCGCCAACAACACGTCACGCGTACAACGTCAGCGACGGCGGCATCAAAGGCATCGCCTGTGAGTGCGTTGCCACAATTTAATCTAAAAGCGGAAATAAAACCAAAAGAAGACATAAAACCGTTGGCGGAAGTTAAGACGAAGGTGGAAGCGAAGGGCACGCAGCCAGAAACAGCAATTTCATTGGAGTTGAAACGTGAGGAAAAGCGTCCAAAACCTGAGACCAGCGGAAATTGGCAACGCGAGCGTACGGCGGACATAGATACAGATGCGAAGCCAGTGGGAAAAGTAGAGCAGCCGCAAGCGCTAACAACGAGCGTAAATCAAAAATCAAACGCATCTGCAACGCATGCAGTAGAAACCCCTTTAGCGTTTGATGCGCGTCGGCTGGCACAGCCAAGTTTACTGCGCGATTTTCAATTGGCAAGTGTAAACACCACCGAAATAGTGGCGAAAAATGATAATTTCAATACTAACAACAGCAACACAACCAATAACACAGCTGCCACAGGCGGCGCCACATGCAACACCAACAACAATATAGCAGAGCTTACGGCACGAACTACGAACCTTACAACAGCAGTAACAACAACAACCGCTAAAAAACCAATCAGCAAATACACCATGTTCCACACATTATTCGAAGTCACTAGCGCTGATGGCGCAACAACAACAAGACCATCCAACTCAAACGCCGGCCAACGACCACGTAAAACGCCTGCGGTACTTAATAAACCGCAATATGCGCGTTTCTTGCAAATCGATCGCGCTGCAGCCGGGGAACAAGGCGTTGGTATATTGCGCACTCGTAGCAATGAGTTTCAGGGACGCGTTAGCACCGCTGGCGGTGGCGGCTGCATGCCAAAAAAACAACAAGCCCAAGCGACGACAAACGCAAATCAACTGCTCGTGCAACCTTCAGCAATACAACAACAGCGCAGCGCTTCATTTTCCTTTGGTAAACACGGGCGGCGCAATGAATATATTGCTGCTGCCGAAAAAAGGTGTCAGTCCAACACACCTGCTAGTGTAGTTGTTGTTGACAACAAAAGCAACACCGCTTCTGCTAAAATACAAAATAGCAAAAATCGAGAAATTTTCTATAGCTTCAATGGTATCTCCACTGACGATGAGTGCTTTGAGGATGCAATCGATTATTTCTCTCCCATGCCAAACTCCACCACCAACACCACTACACTCGCCAACACTAGCAGCTACCAAAATAGCAATAATGCAAGTGCCAACAATAGTATTAGCTACAAAGAAAATCAAAAAAATAGTTTTCAATGCTTCACTACTAACACTAAAAATAAAAGAAATTCTGTTGACAGCAGTGAGATTGCATCACTGCCATGTACAGCACAGACGCGCACCTTTAGCACCGGCACTAATAATAAACCGTATAGCCAGTACACTAGCACACCACCACCAGCAACACCACCTACAACTCTAACAACAACAACCACAACAACACTAACCGGCAATATTTGCACCACTAAAACAACAACAACAAGAACATCAACACATTGTTTAGAAAATACTAACAACAACAAGAACAAGAATACTGCTTCACCAAGTAGCAGTAACAGCTCTACTAATTCTAGTCTCACTTCTTCGCCCACTTTATCTTCTTCTACTTCTACCACTTTCTATTCTTATTCTTCATCACTTTCTGCAGCAAATTGCACGCGCCACCATGCCGTAGTCAACAACAACAATAGAAATATTCCGTATAAAAGTAGTAATACTATGCTCAGCAGTGCTGCCAAGTGTTTGAGTCCGGCACCATATGTGGCTAATAAAAATGTGTGCAACAACAACAACCAAAATCCATCCACCAAATTCGGTGCCAACTACAAATCTACAACAACTTCTTCCAACACGACGCTGTCGGCAGTTGGCGCACAGCCTTCACCATTTTCTTTGCCAGCCGCTTCTACCACTCTGCTGCGTTCGCGCATACCCGGCAACACCCTGTACTATGTTTGAGTTCGTCTGCGTCCAACAATCACTCGCTCAGTCAGCCAGTTATGCTTGCTTGCCAACTAGTGTGTGTATTTGTGTGTACGACGCTGGTCCTTTTCGATTTTGTCTCAATCTTATCTACACTTGCAGAAAAATGTGTAAAATGTATTTTTATTTATTTTAAAATTTTCGCGCTATCAAATTTGCTATTCTGCTTTTTTTCATTTTGGCTAAACCTTTTAAGCGCGTTGGTGTAGGTGGCTTGTTGGTTAGAGTATTTATCGGTTATCGGTTGCTAATATGTATATCGAAAAATATATTTTTAAAAAAATATATGTAATATCTAAACATTTAAATTAAAAAATTTTAAGTTATAAAAACTTGGAAGTACCCTGTGCTAAATTTTTAACCTATTGACTGTGACAGTTGCATTAACACCGATGTAAATAGAGAGAAAAAGTTTAATTTTTTTTTTCAATTCAAGGAAAAAAACATCTAAATTTAGTGTTAATTAAATTAGTTTCTCAATTTTGTAAACTAATGTCAACAAAAAAGTGCAGAAGTGTAATATACTACATATTATGAGTTGCTTTCGGGCTTTGACTGTAAGTGAAAGTGACGATGGAATGATTTTCAGTTTAACATAATGACGCATTTTGATGAAAAATTGTGTTGTTATAAATTTTACTCGTTTTGGCTATTCACAATAGTATCTTTCTTTGAGGTCTTGCATCGACGCCCCCAGATGCTACAGTTTTGCTTATTAACATTAGCCATCAGCCATCGAGGTGGAAATAAGTCTCATTAGTCGAGATGATTTTTCGAAGAAATTAGATGGTTATTTTCATGTATTTCAAGTATCCAGTCGCAATGAAACGACGTTGTTGATGATCAGCCGGCTTGAGTATTTGTGTTAACCGAACTTAATTGTGGAATGCCCAATTCCAAAGAACGGCAAGAAATGAATAAGGCTGAGGTATCTTCAACGCTTCGGGCTACAATATGTAGCAATATTCTCAATTGTTCTTTAACGTGTTTTATTCTTTGCATCACTAACTTTTGCCAATAGTTGCACTCTTCCCACCAATTTCCGTATTGCAGTCCGACAAATTTTTGTTATTCGAATATCCGTAATAAAAGAATTAAATATTTATTTTGTTGAGAAAATAAAAAATTAAAACACAACTTTTAGAAGAGTTCAATTCCTTTTGATACAAATTTTATGGATTTAAAAATGATTAAATAACCGATATTTACTATTAGTTAAGTGTAATTATTATTATATGTAGTTTCTGCTTGAAAAATTCAAAAGATGACTTAAATCATGGGTAGAGGTTATATACATCATAAATAACATATAAAATACAACCCTGTTCATCCTTCAAGTAATAAATACTCCTTAACAATGCCAATTGCCAAATTGAACCAAAATTAAAACTAAAATAAAATATAATAAGTTAAGTTGTTTTAATTCAATAAAATGAAAGTAAAATTATTTAGAGAAATATCTAACATCTACAAAGAAAAAATAAACAAATAAAATAAAAATTATAAAAAGTCAAAACTTATAAAAAATTGATAATAATAGTTAATATTATTAAAATAAAATAACAATTATAAAAAATCAAAACTTGTAAAAAACTGTATATAATATAATTATAAAAATTAATTATTTATTACAAAAATCTTTCTTGGGTCGCCTTCTCTCTTGCCGCTTTCAAAAATATGCTCACCATTTACTTATAAAACATTTCTTCATCCTTACTCTACTCTACATTTTACACCAGTAGCCTCGCTTGATTTGTTGTTGTCTTACTGAAAAAAAAACAATGCAAAAATTGGCAGCATTGCCAGCTGTATAAAAAGTCCTTACCATTAACTCTGTGCTACGCTTTAAATGTTACAAACACATACATGCACAACCACTCACATAATTTGATTTTGTTTTTATTTTTTTTATAACAAAAAAATTATATTTAGCTTTTATCCCTGTTAAAATTTGTATTATTCATTTGTTGGTGTGAAGAAGCAGCGCTTAAATTCTATGAGCTTTCTCTTAATATTTATTATTTTATATATATATATATTTTTAATTATATTTTACTGTTGAAAAGTCACAGTTTTCAGTTGAGTTTATTGCTTTTACTAAGATTTTTACTTTTCAAGCAAAAAAATCAAATGGAAGCTTAAAGTACAGCCCACGTACAGTTCATCGATTTAAAATTCGTTATCGTGCAACACCACGTGGCTTATCGCTAAACAGTGTTGTATAACGAGCAGAAAAGTTTACTGAAGTTCTTGTAACATTTTTCAATAAGACTAAATTAATTGATTTACATATATGTATCTATTTCTTCCTTTAATACATTAAATGTTTTCATTTATCTTTTAAATTGCTACTGATTTTTATGCTATTTATTTTACTAATTTTTTATACATTTTTTTGTTTAAAAAAAAAAACTATTTAATGCCAAAGAAAATATTTGATAATTTTTTTCAAAGCAAATTTTTTCAAATTTTAGCCTCAAGTAAAACGAAAATTTATTTTTAACAAATTAAAATAATCGACATCGAAAATGAAATATTTATAATTTTAAATTATTTATTTTAATTAAAAATTAAATAATTGCTAGTATGAATGATTTTTAATTTTTCTATATACACATATATATTATATTATACAGTTGGGCGTTTCTTTGAACCATCTAATTTTTTATAATTGCTGCAATATTTTATTTTCGGTACATTGGTTTAACTTAACCTCAAATTGTGACTTATTCTACACCCTACACTCTACAACACTAAAACTTGTATAACCTCTCTTTTATCGCTCTAATTCAAACTAAACCTAATCGAAACATTTTTTTCTCACTCTTTATAAATCTTTTGCAGATGTAAATTAAATAATTTAATTAACAAAATTAAATTCAAATAAAATACATAATATTCAAAATAATGCGTTTTTGTAAGCGTGCCTAAACTGAGAAAAACGTGTTAAGAAATCGTCACAAATTTACATGCATTCATAAATATTTATTGCAATAAAATATTTATTTGAATAAAACGAAAACAAAAAAGAAAGAAAATATTAATACACACATACATTTTACGAAAGCTCCGTAAATGCCAAAAATGAATGTTCGTCTCACAATAAGACGCTAACAAAATCAATATACCAAAGCTACCAAAATTAACTGCCTGCCTGTCCGTACCGTACCACCGCTCGCCCGAAACGCCTGCTTTACACGTAATACCAAATGTCATAAATGCCACCAACAGCACCGTTAAATTGCTATTTACATACGTACATACATATTTTTTTAACTTTTACTAAGTGCTAACTTTAAGTACATAACCTTAGAACTGCTCAAAACTTCTAATAACCAACCACCTGAAACTAAAAATCAACTTCAAGCTGCCAAAAGCATATTTTTTTCATATTTTAGTAACAAAAACAAAATAATATGCAGAAAAGTTACAAATATTAACAAATTATTTCTACTACTAAAAGAAAAAAAACAAACTAACATCACGCGTATACAATGGCAGCCTAACAACTGTTGTATAATTAATGCTAATGCTTAAGAAAAACATAGACACGCGTTAAAATTAGCAAGGAACAAAAAGAAAACATTCAAAAACATATAAAACCGTAATGAAAAATTCGCAAATTTTCTATATGAACGACGCACACGTAAGTTGTAGTGTATGATGACACTTTTACGCACTTCCGTTATGTGCTACAGCGTTATGAATGTGAAGCGCATATTTGAGAGCCACTGTTGTGCTGTTAACTGCAATTCCGCTTTTTTTGTACAAATTCGCCTATGAAATGCAAAAAAATGTGTGCAATGCGTAGTTATAGCATTAAATTAAAATAAAACAATAATAACAGAACATTCAAATAAAACTTTTAAAATAAATATTATAATATTTTGCTACGAATTGTGTGTATGTGTACTCGTACGTGTATTCATTCGGCCAGTTTTGAAAATTCTATTGTGAGTTGAGGTAACTAACCGGTTTATTTACAAGTATTTAACACTTACTTATTAATAAAAAAAAAAAACTTACTATAATTAACCAAAAATATGTACACAATTTCATCTTTAACACCATTTTAGCCATAAGAAATATGTACTTATAACACACTAACTTCATGTATGCATGCTCACTATTATAATTAATTTTGTGTATAAATATGTATGTAAATTGTAATCACGCTCTATTATCACTTCATTGCATGTTTGCTTATTATAATAATTTTATTTTATTATTAATTTAACATTTCACTCACCAGCAATACATGCAAAACTTTGCCTGAAGCAAAGTAGTTGGCAACGCAGAAACAGCTGTTTGGCAAAATTATATTTTCGTGAACGTCAAGAAAATTACAAAGGATATTTTTTTTTTCTAATAGTTAGGAGTTGTAATCTTATGTACCCAAGCTGGAAAACAACAACAACTTGTATGAAATACAAAAACCAGTGCGCGAAAAACCAGTGATGAGTCGCATTGTACTGCCTACGAAAACGATCGCGAAAGGCTGTGGCAGTGCTTGCCTCTTTTTATACATAGTAGCTGCACATACATACATATCTATAGTAATTAGCTTAAACTACCGATATGTAAGAAAAAATCGTCTACGCATTTAAGTGCATATTTTTTGGAAGAAAAGAGGCAGTAATGTCGTCAGTATTGGAGGAAGAATCACTGAAAAGTGTCATGTATTTCACAATTTGCAAACTTCATTATAAGTGGCTTAAAATATCAAGACGCTTTTGAAGGGATGCCAAGCTAAGTGAGAATGGGCTATTGTTGCAACTCTCATAAACTGTATTACAAATGTACACCAAACATCTCTTTGCGGTTGTAAAGTGTATATATTTAGATTGTGATGACAGTCGTAAATGGCTCATCTAAGGAGAAATATTCTCTTATTCTGATCCTTAATACAAATAACAAGAATTTCTGCTGAATAAAAACCAACTAATCACTGTTGCTGTGCTCAAGCTAACATAACG